TTCCTGAGTACCCTCTTGACAGCTGCCTGGCATGATAGCCTGGCTCTCAAAGACCTCTTTGCCTATATGTCTGGAACTGAACTTCTTGATTGTCTACTGGACTGCTTCTCCTCTTGACCATGGGTGATTAAATGGGAATGCCCTCTACTCTGTAGCTCAAGCTAAAGGCTCTCAGCTGCTCTACTCTTGGCTGTTTGACCACCATGATCATCATTCAGCCTGGCCAAGCTCTGGTTGATCAACTGTGCAGTACTGGACATGTTGCTTTACTCCCCTGAGCCTTGATTATCTCATCTGTAAATGAGTCTTATGTGCAACTTATTTTATAAGAGCTTAATTCAGACCTTTGGTATGGTTTGACTAAACTACTAAAATAGCCGTCTGGATGGTATCTTAAAACCTCCTATTGCCCTCTAGTGTAACTATGGAGTCAGGCAAAATCTTTCATCATCTCTCCCCAACTGGTCTCTCTAGGGTCATTTTTTACTATGCCCTTTAATCAGTTTTCATACTCTAGGAGCAAACAAACATTCATGTGATACTCTTTATGCATCTTGACTCTTCTGTGCCCTCTACCAGGAATTCCAGTCCTTTCTAACTCCATTCTGTGAGTGTACACTTACCTTATGTGGCCCAGGTCAAAAGTCATCTATTTTTTTAAGGCAGCATAAGTTACATCAGGAAGGTCTGGTTTAGATTCTAACATGTCCTGTGGTATTCATTTCATTGTAATTATTTCTCTATCACTCAGTTATGGACTCCCCATGGGCAGTGAAGGTGTCTTTTTTCAGCTTGATATCTTGTTCTAAGACCTCATATATAATGGGAATGCTATAAATTTTCACTAATATGAAAGTAATACTTCTCCTAAAAATGACTTAAAGTACTTGTGAATCAACTGACTCAACTTCTGTTAGCTTTAGAAAATAAAGGCAGCGAGCTTGTAAAAAACTTAAATCAAAAACTCAAGTTCAATTATGTTTTTCCCTACCTGCTCCAGGATGAAGCCACCATATTTTCTCCTAGCACATGTGCTCTGTTTCCGAACAATATAAAGTCTGAGAAAGCAAATCCTTTAAAGCATTGTATTTGGCAATACCTATATTTAATATAATATTTTATTAGAAAAAGGAGACTGTTTTTTATTCTACCCTTTCTCTAGGCATAGCATTTCATAGCAGGCAACATAGGCCAGTGCGACATAGGCTTTGAAGCGTTACGCCTATGTTTCAATGCTGCCGCTTCTTCCGCTTCTCAGAAGAGTAAGCTTTGGAAGTAGTTTTCTCAGAACCTCTTCTCTCACCTGTGAGATGGGTGCCTCTGTCTCATGCAGAGCAGACAGTGATTATAAAGATCAAATGAATTAACATGCGTGACTCACGATGGGTGCTTTATAAACATGCTTTATTATTCTGAGAGGTTCCTGGACTCCTGGTAGAAAGGCAAGGAGCATTTTCGTCTCAGAGAATCACGTGGAAAGACTGAGGAGCCTCACAAGCCTGTGAGAATTAGCCCGTTCACCTGTGTAAGGCCTACTTTACCCACTTTAGGCATCACACCAACACTTCAGTGTTGCATTTTGTCACTTGGAGCTAAATGTGGGGGACAAGCTCCAGGATTAGCTTGCGTTAGGGTGGCCTCTTCCCAAACTGTGCTGCCTGGGTTCAAATCCCAGTGCCACGACATGCTGACTGCTTGACTTTGGGCAAGCATTTTTCAATTCTTAGTTTAAAATTTATCATCTGTCAAGTGAAGAAAAAAGAGAATAGTTTTTACCATTCACCTGTTTTGAGAATTAAATAAAAAGTCATCCAAAGTGATATCGCTACCTATAAGAAGAAAAGCTTCTGCATATTGATTACTGTTTTCGTGATGGAAGTAATACTGAAATATTTTTGCTACATGTTGTATATGATTTTTTCATATACTTTATTATAAAATATATTGTACCTACAAAAGAGTGTAAAAGTATGCAGGTTTAAAATAATGGGATAATGGGGGCGTAGCTTAGTGGTAGAGCAAATACTGAGCATGTGAGAGGCTCTAGGTTTAATATCCAGCACCAGTAAATAAATAAATCAAAGTAAATATCATAAGATAAACCACATCCCAAGTTAAAAAAAATAGATTTCCAGTTCCTTCGAGGTCCCTGCATTCTCTCTTTAGGGATTCTCTCCTTAGGGAGCTAGTAGTCCCTCCACCTTTGGATCATTAGACATTTACTTAATTTCATGATTTTAGTTCTGGTAAATGTATCACTAAACAGTGTGCTATTCACCTTCATATTTTTATGAATGTTATTTTAATGAAACTGTCATGTAAACATACATATATATGTCTTCTGTGACTTGTTCTTTGCACTCAATGGATGCAGCTGGATTGATGTGTGTTCACTCAGTGTCATTGCTATGTGGCATTTCAACAACACCCTGGAATTTGTTTTTTCTCTTCATGGGCACATGGACTGTTTGTTTTCTTTTATGATTACAAATACTGCTGCACAAAATACTCTTGTACATATGCTTTGGTGCATGTTTGAGAGAGCCAAAGACTCTTAGGAAGTTGAGACTGGCAGTAGAGTTCCTCTTTTGTAACATATGTGAATACCACATTTATCAGGTTATGCTAAGCTCTTTTTTTTTTTTTTGGTACCGGGGATTAGAACTCGGGTCTTTGTGCTTGCAAGGCAGGCCACCAAACCACTGAGCTAACTCCCTGGCCTTCTAAGCTCTTTTTTGAGTAACAATACTTGAAGGATTTTTTTTTTTTGTTTCTTTTGTTTTTTATTTTTAGGCCCTAAGGATTAAATCCAGGATTTCACCTGTGCTAGGTGAGTGCTCTACCATAGAGCCAATTTCTGAAGAACTATATGACAGAAGATTACTAAGTATATATTTTGGGCCTTCATGAAAGTTGCTATATGTGATAGTCTTCAGGATTTTGTAGTTTTAATATAATATGTAAATCCTTTCTCTTGGTGTTTTTACTCTTGTGTAGTCCCCTCTCACATTATGCCAAAGCTGGTCCCTGTGATTAATGGAAGATGCTGAAAGCGATGGCATGATTAAGTTACAAAAAGCTATCTTTTTTTCTGTTTCTGATATCCTCTCGCTTTCTGTCTCCTTTGCATCTCTCATACTAGATTGTGAGCAGTTCTCCAGAGATGCCCATAAAAGTGAGAAATGGGCCTCTAGCCAACTGCCTGGGAGGAACCATAGCCTGCTAACAGTCCAGCTCCTGGGCCATGAAATGGCTGCAGCTCCACTAACAGCTCAACTGAGCAGCACCTGGATACTTGACCTATACAAACTGAATGAGATTTTCATGTTTTGAGCTCAGGGCTGAGGTGATTTGTTATGCAGCAAAAATAACTAATACACATTCTACTAAAGAAGTGAAAACTTCTAAGTTTCCTTAAAGAATTTGTGCAGGATATTAAATATAGTAGAAAACAAATACCATAAAATGTTGCTGCACCAACAAATCTAGGTATTATTTAGTTTTTCATGTAAAAATAACACCATAAATATATTTGTTATTTAGATGGTCATGTAAAAGAAGTACAAGAATAATTTGTGATTCATAACATATAAAAACACATTAAATGTCTTCAAATTTTAAAACTGGTGTAGATTTATATTCATGAGTCCTTTAGATGTCTGTGTAAGTTATTCTAAAAAGATACTCATTATCACACAACAGTACAAAATAGAATCCATGTAAACATACAAAAATAGACTAGTTAGGCCATATTTCTTCTCATTAGAGTATTAAAAAGCCATGGAAACATTTGGGAAAAAAAATGAAAGATTCCAAGCATATAGTATACAGTGACTTCAAGGTGAATGTGGACATCTTTCATCTTTTCACCTGTGGGATTTATGTGGGAATTTATTTTCTTCTTTAAACTTTTCCCAATCTTTTCTAGGTTCTCTCTGCTATATGTGTGTTACTGCTTTTATTATTAGGAAAATGTATATAACACTTGAAGAAGTTATTCTTATTTTGCTTTTAGGACTACAGAGAAATGAAGACACAAACTTTAACCTTCAGACTAGGCGAGAAGCCTGTCAAGTAGAACCCAACAATGGAACACCTGTGTTGATGTTGGTTGCTCTTTCAGTCTGGCTTTCTTCTAAATCACCTTGACCTTTGGAAATAACCATGGTCTTCTGTCTTGTTATCACTGGCTAATCCTATTGGTTTATAGAAATGAATATAGTCTATTTTATTTATTTTACATTGGAATTGCAAAGAGTAAATTCTAAAATCTTATGTGACTAAAAATTTTTAAACGTTCTTTAGTAGATGATCATGAAATTGAGGAAGGAAAAGTCAGATGGCGCTTCCTGTAGTGACAATGTGGAGGTGAGGGCTGTTGAACAACTTTCTAAATTGAAAGGGTATTTATCTAATGATGGTGTAAATGAAGTGAGAGCTTTATTAGATGGAATGGATGTAGAGTCAGTGCCTGAAAAATGCTACTTTGTGGCCAAATTAGTGTGAAAGATTTAGATATTAATAAAAGAAAAAAAAACCCTCTCAAAACAGATTAAAATGTAGTTTTAAAATTTTCTCTTGTTCACATAGTTTTGCTCATTAAAGTTGGAGAGGACCTTAAATTTGGTATTTAATTTGAAAGAATTAACTGAAGTCCCACCACTCATGATCCGCTTCAATGGATTGGTGTCTTTTTCCTGATGCTTATACTATTTTTGAGCATTTCACGAATCTTATGTTTTTATCTTTCCACACTTTATTGTTATCATATCTTCCCTTCTAGTGTATCAGTTCTGTCTTTCTAGCTTGCCCTCCTTTCTTCAGTTCTTGGAACGTAATGGGTGCTTCATTAATAAATGCATGTTAAGTGACAGAATTGTGTTGACAATATATGGAAAAGAGAAAATCCCTGGGTAGAGAAATAAGCTAAAGTCTAGTTCTATGCTAGTTGAGACTATTGGCAATTTGCAGTGATGTTGTCCTGCTGCCCTTGGTACTAGATGCCGAAGAAGACAAATGGCACCAACGATGGAAACCACGTGTCCTCTGCGTACCCCACATCTGGTGTTGTCATAGTTAAGTGATGGTGTCAACTTCAGTAAGCAATGCCAAGCTCAAGTGGATCAGCTCAGTGCTGGGTGTGGCTGAAGGGATTTGCTAAAGACAGAAGTCCCACCCTGGGTATAAGCAGCACTAACGGGAAATGAAGAAGGAAGGAGGCATCGCTTCTGTTTCTAAGGAGGAGCACCAGTTTTCACCTTCACCTCAAATGTTGTTTCCTGGCTTTCAGAACAGACTCTTCAGCTTTCTAGCATAGACCCTTTGGTCTCGGGATACAGATTCCCAGGGGCCTCTACAGTGAGCTTCTGGCCTTTAACCTTTGACCAGATCTGCAGTGCACAGAAAGCTCTTTTGCACTCTTCCACCCCTGACTCTGCAGGTGGCCATTGTAAGCCTATCTTGTAAATCCTGACATATTATGTATCTTTCATTAAATCCATTTGGCCAGTGAGCACTGACTGATACAGGTGTCAAGTAGAAATTCACGGATGCTTTCTGTGAGGGTATTCAGTAAATGCAAAGGAGATTCTGGAACTGGCTTCAAAAGAGCAAATAAACTGACAACAACAACAAAAACAAAAACAAGAGCTCACTATTGAAGTTTTAGGATTTGGAGGCAAATATCAGGGTTCCTAGCTTATTTGAACTGTGATAAAATTTGTTGAATCCTTAAATTGAATAAATTATTACAATAAAACTCATTGCCATTAATTCCCCTCAAAATATCCATCCCTCCTTGCTTTGAACACATTTGTGTCATTATTCTTGTCACTTTCTGGAGCAGTTCTAGGAGTCCTCCTTTGTGAGTGTCTTTAGTTGTGCTGTTATGGCTGCCTCAAGTCCTGAATGGACTAAAAACATTTGCCTTTCATAGATATTTTTACTTTTGTGTTGAGCCAGAAGTTGCATTGAGCCAGATCCAGTGAATCAGGAATCCAGTAGATGGAGAAACACCGTAATGTTTTTGACAGAAATTACAGTAAACACTTGATCAATGCGTTCAAAAATTATGGTGAATATTTGAATAAAAACATTTATTACAGTAAAAGCTACATTGCCATTAATTCCCTCAAAATATTAGAAATGGCCTCTCTTGCTTAGAATATACTCATTCCATTGTTCTTGGCAATGCATCTTTTACTGTAATAAGTATTTTTAAATTTAAACATTTAAAATATTATGTGATCACCCCTCATGATTCTAAATAAGATTTATTTTTCAAAATACAGTGTTATTTTGTTTTATCATATATAGTATATGCATCACAAATATTTCAGACAATAAGATAAAAATATTACTGGTTATATCAAACTTTGAAATGTATAATTTGGTGACTTCACAAAAATCTAATCATTCCAATATCACATTTTCCAGCATTAAGCACTGCATTGATATGGAATCACATAGCCAGAATTTATTGTTTTTTTGGAGTTTTCCAATGCCTTTAACAGTGAGGTCTCTGCTTGAATGTATAGAACATTAATAGATATGTTATACTAGGGCATATAGACCAAGCAACACACTGGAGATTTAGGCCAAACAAGTGTGTCTACTTGTAAATCCTGGAGTTCAACACAAACAGAAACACATTCTTACAAGTAAAATAAATGAAATTTTTTGTAAGCAAGAGATTTCTGCCTTAATTTGATCTGTGTTGCCTAAATTAAGTAGATGATTATACAAAAGCCAGTATTTGTTACTATTTTATGTCTTCCAGTCAGACTTTTGAAAACAATACTGGCCACATGAGAGCCAATCAAGAAATTAAAAGTAAAATCCCCCAAGGTGTGAATTAAGGACAACTTGATTCAACTAACAGCAATTAAAACAAATGATTTTAATATCCCATTTGAATCCACTATTAATAAAATCTACAAGAACAAAATGTAGCTAAATGCAATTCTTGGCGTCAAGTTGAAAGCCGTCTTCCCCAGCTTCGGTTTCTAGTTGTACCATAGGGAATGAATTGTTCACCTCTTCATGTCTCAGTTTCCCATCTGCAGAAGGGGAAGAACAATTGTAACCCTCAAACAAGGTTGTTGTATCCTATGAGTTAATATGTGTTAAGTTCTGAGAATAATGACTGGTATGTCATAGATGTTATGTAAATAGTTGCAATGGTTACTAAACAACAAAACAAAGCATTTGCGTATTGTTACCTATCATCTTATCTCCTGTTTTCCTTGACAAGAGAACATATCTGTCCATCTTTACAGGTTTCACCTTTCACATCTTTCATATCCTAGACTCTCCCTTTCCTCCTTTGCTTCCCTTGCTCCTTGCCTGGCAAGTCTGACCTCTTCTGACTTGATCCTTGTAAGGTAGAATGCCACAATATACTGGGGCTGTAACATAGCTCAAAGGCTGATTCCTTTGGAAATCCGTGCCTGTGCTTCCTCACATGCTAGAATTAGCCAGAATGCTTCAGAAGACTGATCCTCTTTAGAAATCTATGAGAAAATAAGAGCAACCTCTTAACTTGTTTCTGGTCTTAAAATAGACCTCTCAAATTTTTGCTATTATTTCAAAATAGAGAACATGAAAAATGTTCTGGGAGAGGACCATTGTTGAAAAGACTGTGGTAGTATGTAACTAAAGTTTATATCCCTTTTTTCTGCTTATGAAATTGGGGAGAAGGAGAATAGAATAAGATAGATGAATTTTTGTAGAGTAGTTTAAAATTTAAATATTAAAAGAATTTTTTTGATTACCCCTTGTGACTCAGAGTCATATTTGCTTCTCAAAATAAGAAGCTATTTTTTAAATCTTGTACAATATACTCATCACAAATACTTCAGACAATAAGAGAAAAATATTACTGGTCACATCAAATGTTGAAATGTATAATTTGGAGACTACACAGAGGTCTAATCATTCCAACATCATACTTCCAAGCATTATTTTATTGAGCACTTTTTAAAATGTGGGAAGTATTTATCTAAGGGAGCCAATGGTCCTGTAATGAAGAGACAAAGTGCAGTGTTTCTTCTCCAGGGTATATGAAGTAAGAAACCATGACTTCACTCTGGAGTCTCCTTTGTTTCCACTAATGCAGTGGGCAGGGGTCTCTGAGCAAAGCAGGCACCTGCTCCTTGGTATTATGCAGACTATCATGGGCTCCATGACTGGGCTGGTTGCTTTAGTTGCCTTGGCCACACAGTCAGCCTTCTATATCTGTGACTTCCATATTTGTAGGTTTATCAGCTGTGGGTAGAAATTGAGTTTATGCCTCTAATGGTACTGAACATATATAGACTTCTTTTTCTTTTCATTATTCTTAAAAATAATAAAAGGTAACAATTCCTTACATTTACATCATGTTAGGTATAATGAGTAATTTATAGATAATTTATTTTTTATTTTTTAATTGAGTTTATTGGTACATTTTAGGTATACAGTACAGTTACATTCATTATTGGGATCTTGTACCTTTACATGACTGGTCTTGGTTCTCATTTTTCCCCTTGTCCCTGCCCTCCCTTCACCCCCTCCTTCCCTCCCCATTTACAAACACTTTATTTCCATTTTTTCATATTTTTTCTTTTCCCTTATTTCCTTTCCCCTACCCTTCCCATTTTCCCTACACCTTTAGCCTTTTTCTTCCTATTTCACATTGTCAATTATCTCATTAGGATCTTATGTACTATTATAGTTTTTCACACCAGAGAAACTATTCAGTATTTACACATGTGTGACTTATGTTTCACTAGGAGTATATCCTCAATATGTATCCATTTCCCTATGAATGAATCTAATTTCTCATTCTTTATGGCTGAGTAGTATTCCATTTTATAGAAAAACCACATCTTCTTTAACCAGTTTCCAACTGATGGGCAAATGGGCTGTTTCCAAGTTTTAGCTATTACAAACTGTGCCGCTATAAACATAGATGTGCATATGTCACAGTGATATGATTCTTTTAATTCTTTTGGATAGATGCCCAGCAGAGGGATGGCTGGGTCAAATGGAACCTCTAGTCCCAGCTCTTTGAGGTATCTCCATATTGATTTCCATAGTGGTTGCACCAGTCTGCACTCCCATCAACAATGGAGAAGGGTTCCTTTCTCCCAGATAATTTAAACTATACAGGAGGATATGTGCAGGTTCCATGCAGATACTACACTATTTTACATAAGTGAGTTGAATAAGTGCAGATTTTGGTATCCACAGGCGTCTTGGAATCAGTCACTGAGGAAAAGGAGGGATGGCTGTGCCACGTGAACTCTAGAACCAGTTCCCATGTCAAAGCAGGGACCAGGTCCACTGGCCTTGTGAGGTTGCACCAAACCCGTAGGTCTGTGATTCTGCGTATGTGTTCCACTAGGAAACCATTGTAACCTCTTCTACTTCTTGCTATATCTTTTAAACTCAGCCCTCAGACAAGAAAATCTCATGCCATGGACTTCCTTTCATTCTTTCTTGAGTGTGGAATAAGATACTCCTATTTACCAGGCACTCCTGGTCCTTCCTGGTGCATCTGCTGTCCCTTAGGAAGTCTGGATCTGACCCAAGAAGCTTGACACTTTCCCTCATTTTCTGCCCGTTTGCTTCCTTGTGCTATGCCTTTGGTTATTTCTTCTGACATTAAGACGTTGCTTTCTTTGCTTCCCTAAAACTTCTTTCTGTATGCTGCACTCTCGTATCTTGTCTTCTGGGAAGGCTGTCCTGAACTCTAACTTGAGCTAGATGGTCCCTTTAGTACTTATCTGACACTCATGGATTCCACTGCAGCATTAGCCATGCTGTGTTTTAACTTCTTTTTGGTGATCATGTGGTCCATTGGTCTACAAGCTTTGAGGACATGGACTTGATCTTTTATTTTGGCAACTCTTGAACCCAGTCCAGGGCCTTTAACATAGGAACAAGGTCAACAAATGCTAACTGAATAAACAAGTGAGCAAAGCCTCAATATGACAAAATTTCCTATGTGATTATTAGGGACACAATAAACCTAGAACATACTATAATTTTAGGTAGATTTATAGCTAGTAGAAAGAAAACTATTCCCAAGATGTTTAGGGAGGGCAAATAAAAATTAGACAATAAATGTAATTTATAGGAATTAGAAAGGATGTGAAGTAACATACAGGTGCTATGAAATTTGGGAAGGGGTTTTCAGTAGGCAACACACCCAAATGATTCAGCTCTGAATCTAATGAGGTGTATCACATTTAGAGCTAAGAAGTTTATTAAGTAAATGCAAACTATAAGAGAACTTGTTTGAAAGTTTAAAATGAGCCAAGACTATAATAGCAAGTGTCAAAAATTTGTTATGATTGTTACCTGTTTATTGAACAACGAGTATCTGCTGGACATTTTTATTAGATGTCTTAAATTCTAACCTCATTTCTTATTAGATGTCTTAAATTCTAACCTCATCCAATTTAGCCTTTGCAACATCTATGTAAAGTAAGTGATGGGCCAGAGATTTAGTTCAGTGGTTCTGCCGCCTGCCTTGCAAGCACAAGGTTTGATCCCTGGTACAAAAACAAAATAAAGCAAAACAAAACAAAACAAAAAAATAAAGTAAGTGATATTAGCCCTATTTTGTGAATGAGGACC